TAATCCTTGGATGGAAAAGAAAGACATTCTATGTTAAAATATCTCCTGTTTAGGGCTCAGGTATAAGGTGTCAGAGCTGAGAATGAGTATATATGATTATCAGGAGTCCTAGGAAATTGTTTTAAAAATCTACATGTTTTTTTAAACTTAGACAATTGCATACACTTTGTTGTTTAATTAAATGAAATAAAAATAAAACAAAATTCACAGATTAGCATTTCATATATCAATAATTGAGATCCTTTCCTTGGTCAGGTAGAATAAATGGTCCTCCCTATGAGAAATAACAGCACATTTGGCATGCTCATCAACTCATTAGTGCTGCAGGGCTCCATAAAGCATTGATTAGCTTTTATCAGTAGGCAGAAAATAAATGAGATATAGCACAGTGAGTGTTTTTATTTCAACATTATTGAAAATAAATTTTTAAGATTCAAAAACCAGCCAAACCAAAAAGTCAAGTTATTCCATAGACATTCTTTCTCCTGTGAATAATTCAAGTAATTTTAAAGCATGTGTTTCCCCTGCAAATTTATGTCAAAGTTAAATGCTATGAAAAGTCTTTTTCACACTTCCATAAAAGCTGTAGTGCTGCTCACTAACTGTACTTGCAATGGCCCACTGTTCAAGGAGATGTTTGCTTCCTTTGGCCATCATGTCTGTTTAAATGGCTATAGATATATACCCAAACCAGAAGATACGAATATACACAGAGGCATATAAGAAGTCAACTCACTTGGCTTGTGATTTGGGGATTTGCAGCTGAAAAGCATGTCATTTGCACAAAATTACCCCTGCTTCTATGATTCTCCTTCCAGTAAGTTAGAATCTTCATTCGCTCATATTTGAAGCATTTTCCACAAGGCCTCTGAAACAGACTGAACTGGGTGGGGGCAATAGTTCCCCTTGGTATTTAATAGGGATTAGGTGCTCAGATTAGCCACCTGCCAAATGATGAGCTTTCTAGAATGAGGTGGAATAAACAGAGAGAGCATCTGTATAGGTCAAAGTTCAGGCATTAGAGTTGAAGTCCCTGGGAAGTCAAGGAAATCGCCTGAAGACAAGGACCACTAATGATGTGTTAGCACAGGGAGGGCTTGACACTGAGAATGAACTCCCTCTGTTTCATATTTTGCATCCAGCTGTTAAAATCATGGGACTTGGCCAGACCTATGATAAAATGAGGGTGCATTGAGTTTGATTACAGAAACATAAGAATAAATGAAAAAAAAGCTACAATATTCATTTACTCTGTCACTATGCTTATGCAAGAATGAAGTTTCTTTCATTTAACTTAAATGAGAAATATGTAATGATCTATTACCAAATGGGACACATTTAGTCTCAATAACTATGAAAACACAAAATGAATAGTTTAATACAAAATCAAACAAAATTGAAAAAGAGAAAAATTTTGACAAAATTGATTTCAATAATCAAATGGTTATATGAATTTCATCCCAAATAATTTTCCATTAAATTATGGATGTAACATTATTAAACTTCTTATATGTTATATATGGTAATATATCCATATACATATGTTCAGAATATAAAAACTAATTTGTTTTCCTCTACTTTAATATTTCTAACAGAGAAGTGTCAACCATAGTTTTAGAAGGATATAGTCATTTTACATCATTTTTGTGACCGTTTGTCAATATATATTTCATTATGTTTAAAAACTCTAATTTTCATCCTTAAAATCTTGATTGTGAAAACATCTTAAAAGCCTAGTGGTTATTGGCTTTAAAACCTGCAAATCCAGACTGTTACTCTTTAAAAATAAGTAGATAGATAGATAGATAGATAGATAGATAGATAGATAGATAGATAGATAGATAGATAGATAAAACAATTAACTCTGGATGTGATGCTCATCTCGCTCAGCTGCTGTCAGAGTTGTATGTGCAACGGGCTTTCTGGGGCCACAGTGAAGCACTGTCTCAGCTAGTAATACTCCTGAGATTGTTTAGTAATCATCTGTTAACACATTTTGAGCTCCTACTGCTCCATCCAAAGTAGATCACAATCCTCCAAGACATGTTGTGGGAATCAGACAACATGGTCTGGTAAGGACACCAAGAGCTTCCCTGGCCCAAGCATCTCTCTACAGTATATTAGGAAGATGTGACTGAGGCACCTGAAAGCTACTAGCTGCAGGAGTCCAGCTCCAACCTGTCAAAAGGTTCCTGCAGGGAGGAGAGAGGAATGAGGAAGTATTAGATACAAAGACAGATCTAGACAACAAGAAAGACAGAGACACAGGAAAGCTTCAGGAGGGTCCAATACCCGGTCACCTTGACCTTTATTCTAATGGGCTTTTTATACACTACCAAGTGGAGAGGTAAAAGACCTCCCCCTTTCAAGATCAAAACACAATGTACAGCCAAAATACCTGGAAACCACACCCATGGCCAAATCATCCCATTATGGCAGCACTGATGGGTAAAGCAAGCTCAGATTCTCTGACCTTGAGTAAGATCTTAATAGGGAGCCTCTGTGGGCCTCCATAACCAACTGTACATTTCTTTGGAGGATTAGCCCATAGATACCCCAAACAGATAAACTAAACAAAGTGAACCTTGTTCCTCTGTAGGGCGCTGACTGCATTTGAGACAGGTAGGAAACAGGAGATATTGGGCTTTGTAGGAAGGAGGTTCACATGTATCAAAAAGATTGGGTTTCAGCCGGGCGGTGGTGGTGTACGCCTTTAATCCCAGCACTCGGGAGGCAGAGCCAGGCAAATCTCTGTGAGTTTGAGGACAGCCTGGGCTACCAAGTGAGTTCCAGGAAAGGCGCAAAGCTACACAGAGAAACCCTGTCTCGAAAAAACAAAAAACAAAACAAAACAAAAAAAACAAAAAAAGATTGGGTTTCAAAGGTAGAAGGGTTTCCCATCATGGTGAAAAAATAACAAAGTCATACCCTGTAAGTTTTTACTTTTTCACTCTTGTTTTACTGAAGAATTTTTAGTGATAGAAGTATGTGTAGTCTTAAGGAAATCATCCATACTTGGGGACGAGGAAAAAAAATGAATCATGACACATGAAATTTTACATTGAGTTTTTGAGGTTTTGTGGAAATCATTCACCTCAGGTCTTCCTTCATGTAGAAAATACAGATTCAAACTTAAAATCCTTCATTGCCACATATATTTCGGATTTTACTACCATATGCTAGTTACTGATGGAGATACTGAATTCAAATAAAATGTTTACCAATACTATAGACATCACCTCTGACCCTCTTGGGAAGCCATATTCTCCGCTATCCAGTCCACATTAACTCATCTTCAGAGACAAGAGGAGCTCGCTACTCTAGTACAGTAGTGTTCACAATTCTCCTCTGGTCCTGGTGTTATTTTACCTGGCACCACCAGGAGAAATCTCATGAGGTCATTTCTCTTGAGTTACAGTCAAAAGAAACAAATTGAAAACCAGCCATTAAATACATTGTGCTTGACTTCTGAGGCAACTCCAAAATGTTAATATTATTCTTGCCTTATACTTCAATGTAAGTACTGATTTTTATTTTCTTTTTTTTTTTCATTTTGTGGGTGTGATAGGCTGAAAGGAATGCATAGAATAATGGGAACAAACCTATATGACTAATCAACATTCAGGAAAATAATCATCTAGGAGTTTTTAATTAAATTGAACAATGCATCACATCTAAGCACCAATGCTTAGCAAAATTTGTTTTTTTAATTGTTGCTGACATTGTTTCATTTTTCTGATCCTGATAGCAAAAGTATTTTCGGTTATTTAATGGCTGACTTCAGTTGATGTCTTTGACTTTACCTCAGTACCTCACCCCAGCATACTCCAATGCTTACATGTTACTGCTTAAGTATGTTTTCATTGTATATTTTAATGCATCTTCCAGAAACAGGAAATGTCTTCCTGGGGAGAAGTAATTGTAGTATTGTCATAGTTTGGAGAGAAGGTTTGCACAGTTCATACGTGCGTATAGAGAGACATGGTGTAGAGAGGAGACCCACAGACCCGCATAGATATTACAATAAGTCTGGCTTATTGCAAACTTATTACAATAAGTTTCGCTGTTTCATCATCATCTAACACTCATCATTAGTCTAACATTCTCCTAAGATGCAGGTCAGGAAAGCAGCCACATGGCTTAACAAAAAGAATGAGGGGAAGCATTCACATAGGAGAAACCTCAAAACACACAACCTACAACCTGTGCAGATACAGATGCATTATGAAATACAGTATTTAGATTATGCAGAGCAGAAAATGCTACAACCATTATTTTTGCTGGGAATGGCTGTGTGCTTCTTATTGCTAAATTCACTACAAATCAAAAATATCACGTGTTTGATTTCTCTGATGATTTGTTGTGCATATCTAATGTTACCTAAAAGCAAGAAATTGAACTCAAAGTACTCCCAAGGCGCGCGCACACGCACGCACACACACACACACACACACACACACACACACACACACACAATTTTAAGGAGAATTTTGTTGCTACATTTTTATGCACAGCGAGATCAGAAGATGGAGAAGGAAAGTTAGCCATAGTTTTTTGGATTTCCTTCCTGTTGGATGAAATGCACAGTTGGGTAGATTATTTCACCTCAGAGGTAAACAATTGTTTAACGGTGTTTCCACTTCTCCTATTCCTAAACCTCCCTAGACTGTAGGAGCAATGACATCATTTAATATACAACATACAGTATTTGAACCCATAAATGTAGAAGAAACTTGTTCTTCTTTGTTCAGTATCTAATTATCTCTAAATAACCCATGTATGTAAACATAGGAACAACAAAAAAGAGGCAAAATAAACTTCTTCCTCTCATTATTATATTCACATAGCATGTCTTAGGTTGACTAAATCTGATCATTGAGCAACTTACAGAAATTTGTTTAAGAAATTTGAATGTGTGAAATTATTTGTGTTTGCTTTTTTCCAGGAAAATAATTTAATTTAGTGGAATGAAAGTTTTGACTCACTTTCTTTTTCTTCAGATTTTCTTTTCTGTCTGCACTGCTTTCTGGGGAGTAAGAAGCATGAAACGACTCACCGCTGGCTCTTGGAAGTAGCCCAACTCCAGACAGCTCTCTTGGTCCTGTCAGTCATCCATGGCAGGTCACTGCTACAGAAAGAGCGTTGTCTTACATACTGCCTACAGGAGCTACTTAGTTAATGAAAAATGAAACTACCTGTTTACCTATGCTTTTCATGTTTGCTTTTCTGTTAAAATTAAAGTGAAGTATACTATTTGCTCTCACTAAAAGCCAGATTATTTTATATATATTGAGGCTGTATTCACTATTCTCATCTGTCTCAATGCCAATGGAAAGGAAAGGGTGGGCTTAAATATTTAACGAAATGAAAATTACATTTGTCTTGCTTGGTTTGACAAGTTTTCCTTTAACATTTGCTAAAACCATACTTAAATACATCTCTGTGGTCTTTAAAATGTGTTGGAGTCTACGTGAGCTGGCATTTGCCTTTGCAAATAAATCATCTGTATTGCCACATTACATAAAAATACATCAATGTGGTAAAAATAATTAGAATTGGAAAAAGTTAATTGTTCAACATGTTAGTTTATAAAACATACTTCTAGAATGGTGGGTCGACTTGTTTCAACAGCTTGAGGAGTACATTGTAATTCATGTTGTTTCAAATAGTCACAATAATGTTAATAAAATCATCTGAACAGAAGTGACAAAAATGGTGTGTGTATACTGCTTATGAAATATTAAAAGTCTGTTGTATGTTCCATTTGAAAATACTGACAGAGATAAGAACTGAGTTCAGAAAAATATTGGAAAAAAAGTCTTTAAAAAGTAAGAATTCTTCCCTTCCTCCAAAATTTATCAGACAATTTTCAAATGACAATTTTAGCAGTCCAAGTCAAAATTATTCTCTACCTACATGCATCACTAAATTAAGAGGACTAACTCGAGTTGCTCAGCCCCACTTTTAAGTATGTTACTTCAGATTTGAATAAAAAAAACGTGGGGAGCTGACAGAGAATCAGGCTGCAGGAGTCTGTGCATACTCATGAGGCAGAACTGAGGCACATTTACTTTTCAAGCTGAAACAGCAGAAGAAAATTAATTTTGCATGATGGAAATATTAATAATTATATCTCAAGCGTCAGAAGTGGGTTTGGCTTTGCTTCATTCAGTTTTTATACTTCTTAATTAAATGCAGGATTTGAGCAAATTCTGAGGTCAATAACAAATATTAAATCCTACTTTGGTGCCTCATTAACAGGAATTGCTGGGCTTCATAGGTATAGACAGACCTACCTTACAGGAGAGAGCCCTCTGCTGGTTTGAAACTATTAATGTATCATTAAAATTCTTGAGATGCATATTATATATTCCCAAGAATTTCTATGCTATACGTTACATCATTCATTAATGGAAAGAAAATAGAATTTTTATTGATTCTCAAATATTTACTTAACATGCCAAAATAATTTTATGATGGGGGGTATACTTGAATATATGTGAATATACAGGGGTAGTTTAAAATGAGTTTAATCATGAAAATAATTCATGTGCAACTCAGGTTTCTTTGAATAAACTCAAATGTATTTGTTCTCTTTTCTACCTTAATTTTTCACTATGACTTAAATAATTTTCTTTTAGAAATATAGGTATTTTTAAGTCACAAATTTCCAAGCCTTTGAATATGGATATGGTTCCCAGATAGGCGATGTGCCTCAAGCCTCTGTGCCTGAGATAGGACAATTTTTCAACCTTCAACCTTGCTAATTTTCCGGTCCTATTTTCTCTGGCAAACACTAATGCATGATGACAGATCATGGAACTCTTAGTAATATTGTAAATTGATCTTGAATGGTTCCATGTAATTTATGCTGGTTCTTGACTGGAAGGACTTTAATTGTCCCCACTTTTCTCTCTCAAGAGAACAGCACTGAAAACAGGGCTCATCAATTACCCGGTTTTGATGGAGAGGTGCACAGTGCCTTTGCAATAGTCACAGGGACACTCAGTCCCTCTTATCTATCAAGAGGACCAAAATTCGTTTATAGGGCAGAACTCTATTAGCAATGTTTAATGGAACCTCTAAATTATTGCAGAAACGGGTATTGCAAAACCATTTTGCAGAACTCTGAGGTGGTTAAATCATTTACCCAAGGCCACCGGGGAACACAGTTGATGGCCATTCTTTTTTAAATTATCTGAATTCTAACATCAAAGACTGTGACACCTCTCCATTTCCTGCTAAAAGGTATTCAGATCATAATTCAAGGATTATAGTTCATGTGCAGAGTATGCCTTTACTTTTCAATTTGATGCTTCTATTTTTTTTTTAAAAAAGGGGGGGGGTGAAGAAGAATTTTTCTGTAGTAGTTTAGAAAGTATATGAGTCCTGGGCTTTTAAACCTTGTAAAATTGGTATCTTAATTAAGTTTTAATTTCTGTGATAAACACACCATAACCAAAAGCATCTTGGGGAGGAAAGGGTTTATTTCAGATTACACTCTCAGGTAATAGTCCATTATTGAGGAGAATCAAGGTTGGAGTTGTTGAAGCAGATCATGGAACAATGCTACTCACTGGCTTGCTCGCATGGCTTTTTTAGCCTGCTTTCTTATACTACACAGCATAAGCTGCCACGTGGTAACACTGCTCACAGTGGGCAAGGCCCACTGCATCATAGTTACTTGATACTATATTAATTATCAATCAAGAAAATGCCACAGACTAGCCAACAGGTAATCTGATAGAGACATTTTCTTAATTGAGGCTCTTCTACCCAAGGGACCTTGGCTTGCATCACATGGACACAAAAATACAACCTGGACAATTGGTAATGTACTAGTTTTATTGATAAGCTTGTCATTGGCAAAAAAGAGTCCATCCCTGTTCTTGGTCTGTCTTTTTCACTAGAATTGTCCATTCATTTTCCTGGCACTAGTTAATTTATAATCATATTTGTTAAACTGCACATAATCTTCACAAGGCCATACTATTTGGGATATGTGACTCTGTAATTTAATTGCATTCAGAGGTTCAACTAGCCACTAAACTGAATGAACCCTCCTTAGAGTTGGCATTCCTAGCTTACATTACTGTTCATTAGATTCCCTAAATCTTGCTCTACTGTAGCATGTAATTTAACTGTTCAGTAAGAAATCTACACTAGGAATACAGAGATACTTCTGTAAGTCAGGGTACAGTTTGGTCTAAGGAGATGCAATCTACCGAGGAGAATGGCTATAGCCAGAATCCAAGCCCCTTCTTTCTTTCCTACTCCCCATTTTCTCAAAACCTCCAGGGGAGATGAAAAGCATCCAGAGTACCTGGGCTTCCAGAATCTGAAAGTAATTTTCATGTCATGATTCTCAGCAACTCTACGGAAGCAAAAGACTTCATCTAAGCTTGCCTCCAAGGAAAGAAACTGACAACATTGTTTCCATAATCAGAGAATATTTTTTCAAATCTCATTGTGTCCTTCCTTGTATTCAACAGCATAGCGGCTTAGCCTCTCTTCTCACCAAGGACGAAATTAGAAAGGGTTATTCTCAAAATGAAATGGTTTCCCACGGTTGTAATAAGCAACCACTCTCTAATTGGATTTAAGCTCTATTCCATGAGATGAAGCCCATTCCGGACACTTCTCAGGAGGCCAGTCTGAGACTAGATAGGCCGTGGGCCTAGGAGAAAACCAAATACTATGCTTCTGCTAAAAGAATGTAGAAGTAAAATAGCTTCTCTCAACATTCTGCTGTACCCATGGATCAGTACCTTACTCGGCCATCATCAGACAGGATTCCTCCTGCAGAACATGGGAACTAACATAGAGACCCACAGCTGGACAATGTCCAGAGAGTGAGAAATTTGGGGAACTCAGTCCTGAATGGGATGTCTTCATCAAACCCCTCCTGTAACGGCCCAGAAAGTTCTGCTAAAGAATAGGAAGAAAGATTGTAAGAGCCAGATGTGATGGATGAATCCAAGAAAACAGTGTCTTCCAGGTACATGAGGTTTGACACACATATGACCTCACAGAGAGAGAGATGTGGCAGCATTCATGGGGCCCACATCAGATGGGATCCCAGTGTTGAGAAGTGGGGGTAGACATGTCCTTCCATCCCATCCCTAAGGAAGAAGCTATCACTAAATTGGGTCTGTTTGCAATGAAAACATTAGTGTTCTGCAGTGGAGTCTCCTTGAATATTTTAACCATGTTCAGCAGAAGACAGCCAACACAAAATGGACTCAGGGGTATTTTTGTAGACTTTTGTCTCATGTTGTCCTGTTTGGGCATTTCTTTTGTCTTACTGATAATTTGCTTATATATAAGGTTTCTGATTTTGTGTTTTAATGTTTGTGTGTATGTGCCTTTTAAAAATTATTCTGATTTGTTTAGACTTTTTGTTCGTTTCTTTCCTAAAGAGAGAGGGAAAGAAGGTGAAGCATGGTTGGTGGGGAGGGGGAAGGATCTCAAGGACTTGGGGAAGGGGGAACCAAAATGAGAATATATTATATGAAAAATAATTTCAATAAAAATGCAAATAAAATAAAATCTCTTGAAATCAATAAACAAAAACAAAAAACATGCTTCTTTCTTGTGTGTTGGGTGTTTTGAAATTCCATTCTTCTGTTGCCATTTAGCCCATCATTTCCAGCTACTGCTGGTAACCAGAATCCATGGTTATAAGCACATTCCTTGGATATATTTTGGCATTTTACTATCAATAAGTACAAAGTTAGAAACAGCATAGATTTATATTATTTATAACTGCACAAAAGAAACTGTTTGCATTTTTACACAATAATTATCTGTGCTCTTCTTTTTCTTTTTGCAGGACCAGGGATCAAATCCTGGAACTTGCTCATGTGAGGCAAGTGTTCTGTCGCTAAGTTACATCTCTACCCCTTTTGTAGATTTTTCTAGAAATGCAAATGCATGATGGGAACATTCATTTGAATAAAATAACCCTACATCAGGCTTTAGAACAATGTATTTCTAAGCTATCTTCACAATCAAGTACTGAGCTTTTATGTAAGCAGTCTAGAATGTAGTGAGGGAGAGATATTATCTTCTTAGAATGTGCAAGAACTAGGTTCTGTTCCCAGGAAAGCAGAAAGGAGAAAAAGTTCTCTAAGCCTATGTGTTGTTCCACATCTAGTATCCTCCTATGAGTGAGTACATGCCATATTTGTCTTTCTGAGTCTGGGTCACCTCACTCAGGATGATTTTTTTCTAGATCCATCCATTTGCCTGCAAACCTCATGATGTCATTGTTTTTCTCTGCTGATTAGGGGCCCCCAAATGGATCAGGCCCTCTGAATAGGTGAGACAGTCGATTGGCTTGATCTGTTTGGGAGGCATCTAGGCAGTGGTACCAGGTCCTGGGCTCGTTGCATGAGTTAGCTGTTTGAAACCTGGGGCTTATACAGGGACGCTTGGCTCAGTCTGGGAGGAGGGGACTGGACCTGCCTGGACTGAGTCTATCAGGTCGATCTCAGTCCTCAGGGGGAGACCTTGATCTGGAGGAGGTGGGAATGGGAGGTGGGCTGGGGGGAAGGGGAGGGGGGCAGGAAGGGAGAGAACAAGGGAATCTGTTGCTGTTATGTAGAACTGAATAGTATTGTAAAAGAATAAAATAAAATTTAAAAAAAAAGTTCTCTAAGCCATAGTTTTATGGTATAAGGCAGTATCGCTGGTATAATGAAGATCTTAACTAAGATAAGTAGGTGATGGTGGTTAAGTAAGCATGGATGCTTAAGAATGCCACACAGGAAAGGAGTCATTGAACACCTCTATAAATATGTAGATGCCACGCACATTTTAACATAGAATTATTTTGCTTGCACTTTTTAAGAAATTAATTAACAGCAGGGGAAGTTTCAGGAAGATGAGGAGTAACAAGATGTGGAGTAGAGGAGGACACGGGGTTGAGGAATGTGACCACAGCGCCTGCTTCTGTCTGGAGTCTTCATTTTAATTAGTGCCATTGATAGAAGTGTTAGCACACAGTGCTTTAGGGTTTGTAAAAGCTGTTTAATAGTTCCAGTTCCCAGCATATTCTCTTGTATTAATGTAAGAGATTCAATGAAGTCTTCTCCCTTTAACACATTTTAACAAAATTCTCAAAAAGATTTTCATATATAATTGTTTCTGCTCATTTTGCATCCAATCGAGACAAAAATGTATCTTGAACTTCCCATTTAGACTGAGAACCCAGCATAAAGCTTAACTCACAGGGAAAATAATATATGTGATGACAATCAGTGTCTAAGCATGGCTAATTCATCCTGGGTGGGAATTATTAAGGGCCCTTCCACAATGGCACCTGGCAGCCAAGTGGCCCCTTCCAAAGCGCCGCTGGCAGTTGCAATGGTCTATAGGATGAAAGAATCAGCAGGCTGCTGATCTGCATTGATCACTCTCTCAAAAGTGAAAATATATGTGTAGTAAACTAAGTATTGAAATTTTCTAAGAAATCTGAAGATAAATATGTAGCTTGCATGAGCATTTATCAATCAATGTGATTCTCAGGGTGAGGAGGGGTTAGCAATATCTGTGATTACAGGAAATAGAAAGAAATCGATGAGCCAAGAAGCATCATGTGTGTTTCAAAAGTCTGCCTTTCTCTGAGATGATCATGTGCACAGGAGATGATTTAGCAGAATCCACTGCCAGAAGCACCAGGAGGCATGTATGTGCACACGGAAATGGAGTTACTCAGGCTGAAGGACTCTCCTAGATTTACCTCACTTACTGAACCGTCACAGCCTCCTAGTGCACAAACAGAAAGAGAAGAAACAGCTATTCAAGCCCTGCTCCCGAAGCTGAAGGCTGTCAGATCAGTTATAGGACCTTAGGCTGGTCTCACACAGTGCAGCAAAAGAGCAGTCACGTAACCACTGAACCAGAGCCATCTGTAAGATGTTCTTCACATCCAATGCGGAACATCTAGTACTGCTGCATCAATCAAAAGTCTAATAGAGAAGATCAAAACCTTTATGTTGGTGGTGAGATGAATAGAAATTCTAATGGATAACAGTAAAAATACTGTTAAATCAAGAAACTAGTGATGTATACATTGTTAGATGTGTGATTATTAGTATCCAGAGAGATACAGTCATAGCCTAAAATACCTTATATACCCAGAATAGTAAGTTATCTAGAGAGATACTTGAGAAAATGATACTAAACAAAGAGAGATGGTGTATTTTCTTTCAGGCATCAGATTTATTAGTGTGTGAGGTTTTAAAGAACTTCTGGTCTTGGAGATTGTAGCAGAGACTTGCACATGCTAAGTAGGTGCTCAGCCATTGAACAACGCATGGC